AAGATTCTTTAAGATCATCATAGATATAGTTTCCTAATAAATTGTAGATTTAAAACACACATATGAAATCACTAAACAAAACATTAGAAAGAAAGGTTTAAAAACTAATTATGAGTACTAGAGTAAAGTGAGGGGCTTCGCTATCTCTTATCAAAGGCAGCGGCTAAGAGAGTTGAAATGATGGGAAATCTCAAAATAGACTCTGTTACAGTCCTGTAAAAAATAGCAGACACAGACAGCATAGTTGAGAAATAAAAGGTCACAAGTGACCATGGAGAGTTCAGTTCCCCACATACCAAAAGGAGCCCATTTAGATCACAGCAACAAGACTACTAATAGTGTGATGTACTGGAAACCGAATCATAGTAGAACAACTCAGCACTAATTAACCAAAAGTACACGGGGGAGGGAGTATTTTTTTCTTCTTTATTCATTCATGAGATGACGGTATCGCTGACCAGGCAGCACTTATTGCCCATCCCTAATTGCTCACAGGGCAGTTGAGAGTCAACCACATTACTATGGGTCTGGAGTCACATGTAGGCCAGACTAGGTAAGGATGGCAGTTTCCTTCCCTAAAGGACATTAGTGAACCATATGGGTTGTTCCTGACAATCGGCAATGGTTTCATGGCCATCATTGGACTTTTAATTCCAGAGATTAATCAAATTCAAATTCCACCATCTGCCATGGCGGGATTTGAACCAGGTCCCCAGAATGATATCTGGGTCTCTGGAATAACAGTCCATTGATAACCTGTAGAGTGCAGGAATTTGAAGCTAGATTTGAGATTTTAAAAATCCTCAGTTGTAACTTTTCCAGATCTTTAACAAAACTAATAAAGGTAAGTTGGGGATGGGGATAGGCTTAGAACAGTTTGAACAATTAATTTCAAGTTCAAAGATATATTTGGCACCTGAAAAACATGGAGGTCATGGATGTCAATTCCTGAAACATGGCAGAACAATCTCATATCTCTGCAGAGACGTCGCAGATGTCCCAGTACATGAATCATGAAGTTAGTATGGAGGTACAGCAAGTGATCAGGAAGCCAAATGGAATGTAGGGAATATTAAAGTAGGGAAGTTTTACAACAACATTACAGGGCATAAGTGAGACCACATCTGCAATACTGTGTATATTTTTGGTCTCCTTGTTCAAAGGGAAAGATATAATTGCTTTAGAACCAGTTCAGAGAAGGTTCAATTAGCTCATTCGTGAGATGAAGGGCTTACTTTGTGAAGAAAGGTTAAATAGTTTACGTCTTTACCTATTGGCATTTAGAAGAATTACAGATGACTATATTGAAATGTAGATCCTGGTGCAACTGGACAGGGTGGATATGGGAAAGATAGCTCCCTTTTTCTAGTTCAGTATTTAAGAATAAGAAATTTTCAAGTCAGAAAGGAGGAGTAGTTTTTTTTCCCCTGAGGGTTAGGAGAGTGTTGAATTCTCTTGACAGAATGCAGTGGAGGTCTGGTATTTAAATTTATCCATGGCTGAATTGATTTTTGATAGACAAGGGAGCTAATAGTTCAATTGCAGACAACAAATTGGAAATGAAACAACCAGATCACCTACGATCTTAATTAATGGTGCAGCAGGCTCAAAAGGAACAAATGATCTATCCCTGCCCCTATGCTCCTACAAGAGATAACACAGACATTATCTTCAGTGCATGTCAAATTAAAAAAAACACAAGGAATAGCGCCAACCGATGCTTATGGTCTTCTTCAACCTCACAAAAGCCTTTAATTTTGACAATGCCTATGGAGTAACCTCCTCAAATTTGGCTGACCTCAAAATTTATTATCATCCTCCACCTACTCTACAATATGATGCAATCCATGATTGTCATTAACGGAGCCACCATAGATGCTATCTTGGCAAAACAAAAACTCGGGTTAACCAAGATTATGGTCCTGCATCAACTCTCACCTTCATTTTCTTCCCTGCAATGCTGTGCATCACCTCCAGCAAATTACACAAAGGCGTATAGAAATAAATCTACAGAATAGACAGGAAAGTATTCAGCCTACTTCACCTTCAATCCAAAACCCTCTAACTCGGCCTTCAGTCACTGAGTTTTAGTTCACAGCTATTATTTGTGCATACAAACACTCAGAAACTGAGCTCCATGTCATTGCTGATTCCTTCTTTGAAGTATTTGAGAACATGGGCCTTTTGCTAAATACTTAGTAAACCAAGGTCTATTTCAATCAGTTTTCACAGCAAAATGTCTTACCCCATCAGTTAAGATCAATGGTGAGATCTTGGAAAATGCTGATCATTTCCATACCTGAGAGTCTCCTCTTGACAAAAACAGATGTAAATAACAAAATTCATCAGCTGTGACATTCACCAATATGATACCTCAGTCTTCAGTTGACTGAGAAACTTGAGTATACAAGCATTAGGATCTCAAACCCGAGACAAAGATCAGGTTTACTGGGCAGTAAAAATGACCAGACTCCTTGAAAAATACATGGGAGCAATATCAAAGCACTGGAGAAGTGACACAGGTCTTCACAAAATCCTCCAAATCCAGAAGTAAAAGTGGCAGTCCAAAAGCAGAAACTCTCCAATGCCAACATTGAGGTGCTAATCATTCAACGACAGCTCACTGGACATGACATATCACTCACGAGCCTAACACTAGACCTCTGATGCAACTCTCATAAGAGACTCCCATGAGAGCAGCTGAAATGCTTTAGCAATGTCCTCAAAGCCTCACTGAAAAGGTCAAAAATAACCAGGAAATTAAAGATGATCCTAGCTTGTGACTGATCAAAGTGGAAAAGACTCAATAGAGAAGACATTGAATACACTGAAAGATTTTGTCGTGGAACATGTGGAGGGGAAGTCACGGTATCAAAGAGAGCGCACAACTCATCTTTCCAACCCTTTAAACATCACCTGTCCCGCATAGAACAATTCTGAAGGTCACACATTAATTTTATAAGCCATTTCAGAATCTACTGAACCAGAATGGAAGCACAGCATTCCAAATTCTGAGGGACTGCTTAAGGAGAAAATCAGAGGGTAGAAGTCTCCACTCCATTATTTTCTCCTGCAATTTAAGCTAGTTCACAGAAGTAAAGGAAAGAATGTTATAACCCATGATATCACCTAGTTCCTTCCTTGCACCCTGCTCCATTGTTAGATGCATGTAATCTTCAAGGGATGGACTGTTGACCGTGATGGGAACATTATGACAGTTCAAAGCTGACCTTTGAGGTTCCACTGAAAGGATGATCAATAATGGAGAAGTAATTCAGGTAAGGTTAGCCCTGACATAACTACGCATGTTTATGTACTTAGAATATTTAAGAGACTCACCATTCCTGGACAATATGTCATCCCAGACTGGACAAACCCCATAATAAAGTGAAGGGGAGGCAGTTGACCCTCCCAACATCTGTTCAGCACTATTCTGTAAATCACTCACATCTACATCTTTTGATAATGATGCCTCATCTGGAGGATTCGGTCCCACATCACATCCAAAATGTCCATCGTTGTTGGCACTAACAACTCTTGATGGATGGGACTGGTCAGAATATGCAGAACTGTAGGCAGACACATGTGAGGAATGGCTACACAAACTTTTGTCATCATCAGGCTTGGCTGAATAATTAGTCAATTCAGGCAGTTTAAGTGATTCTCCTCCTCCCTGGTGCTCCAACAAAGCCTGGGCTAGCTTCTTTTCAAAAATGGAACGGGTGGTCAAAGTTATGGGTCCATAGTTCAATCCAGCATTGAGAATTTCTTGTCTGAGTTCAGCAGGGGTAAGTTGCTTCAATCTCATCAAAATAGAATCCATGCTGTCTTTATCTGTGGAGAAAAAAAAGGGATAAAATCTATAAAGGAACAAAATATGCTCAGGAGCTGACAACAAATTTACCATTAATCTTTAACCCTTCAGGACTTAATTTCTTTTAGATTTGAACGCAACCGTGTAACTTTTGAGCATTTGTAGTGATTTTCTTAGCAAAAAGCTTCATGTAACATAAGAGTACTTCAGTGATTCAGCTCCCATTCAAAATAGCAACAACTCAAAAATAAGATTCATAGATATTTTTCATAGAAGTTGAATAAAATTAGATTGCAATTTTTCCATTCCTTTTCTCACCCCATCTTCCATTAAAACATATTAGTCAGATTGTTATTCAGACCATCATTAAATGCAATAGAAGTAATTTAGTTACAAAAACAATTTATTATGGATGCCGAAAAATTGAAATTAAAACTGAAAATGCTGGAAATAGCAGGTCTAGAGATAGAAAGAAACTATTGTCAAAAGGTCTGCAACCTCAGAATTACCTTTCGTCAACAACAGTAGCTAATTGCTGCTTTATCACCAACATCTTTGACACCAGAACAAACAAACCTCAGATTACCTCTATCATAGGGAGACAAACTACAAAATGACAGAAAACTCAATAGGGCCCTTCCATTTTAGTGCAGAATCTGCCACATCTGAATGCTGGAACAAAACAGATGCAAAAAGACTTGTAAATTAAATAAAGGTAGTAAGTATCTTAGGATCCCTTTATTTTAACATCTCTGAACAGGTTGAATAGAAAATACTCACCCTGAGGAACTTCTGCAGACATATCCTGGAGCTGAGATAACTGACTTGCAAATATCACAACCATCTTCCTTTTTGCCAGGTATAACAGAGCGTTTCCTCCCATTGACTCTAGTTTTGCTAGGGCTCCTTAATGCCACACTTGGTCAAATGCTGCCTTGATGTCAAAGGCAGTTACTCTCACCTCAACTGCGGAATTCAGCTTTTTTGTCCATAGCTGAACCAAGTCTCTAATGAGGTTAGGAGTTAAGTGGCCTTAATGAAAACCCAACTTAACTAAGCCACAGTACCGCCTCAAACTGAATGCATAATAAGATATAATCTGAACAGTTATTTTTGATTATAGCACACTCCCTTATTGATTACTAAAGAACGAACACGGGGTTGACTACCTGCAGATTACAGGTCGACAATTCAAATTGCAGAAGTTCTGGTGACAAAGTGAGTTGCAACAGTCCACCAAATGGATCTGGAAAATTTCCTGTAACCTTTTCATATCAGCATACACAAGCTTTCTTCAAAAATAATTCTGCTCCTCCTGTTAACTTTGCACCTTAGTTTATGACTTTCACTTGTTCTACTGACTTACAGTAGAAAGCTCACTATGCACCATAAAATTACACAAGTTTCTGTTCCTTGTCTCTTACAAAGAAAAGTAGTTATATGGACTTTCTAGACTGTAGAAACTAAACAAGAAAATTTCCTAAAATGCTATATCTTCTATCTCATGTCTGCTTTAGCTTTATGCTATACAAAATGGTATCAACACACTTGACACAGAACACCACTGTGCTTCCATAAAAGCAAGCCAGGAGAAAAATGAACAGATGGGTACGGATGTGAATCTGTCTCTTATTTAGTCTGAAAGCCAAGATATGCCTAAAGCTTCAATTCCCTGTTCAGAGTATCACATTTACGCATACTTGCACAGACAAAGGATTTATTCTTGTACATTTGGATCTGCTCAATTTTGCAATCTGCTTCAGTGATTGAATGCTTGGAAAGTAGATTTTAAGGCCATTTTCTAGACGTTTGGTTGCAAGCTACTGTACTACACGGGTCCCATATCAGATTTGTGGTCTCTGCTCAGTTAAGCACTCTTAACAAAAGGTAACATTTGCTGTAATGGTAATTGCATTCACATCATGCAAAAACAGAACTGGACTCTGATTTGGTGCCATCCTTAACAAATAACCTGCTAACTTCAGTCACATACACTGAACAGCTACTCAAGGTGAAGATTTTGAAATGCTGACAGCATCTTCAGGAAGAATGAAAGAGCAGGGGAAAAAAAAATCTAAAATTCCTAACTTAAATTTTTTGCTTGTGTAATATCTCAAGCTGCACTGCAAGTCAGGTTTGAAACAAGATAAAATGCAAAAATTAGGCTGGAAACACATTTGATTGTTTGTGTTTTTCAGTAATTCTGCAAATATTTTGGCAATTCAGTCCCAACTTTTCAACTAACTAACTATATTCAAAACAGTGCGTCACCCACAAAGCAGAGTAAATGATTCAGTTCCTAAGAATGAAAAATTGCACCAATAATAAACTTTGTCTTTTTCACACCAAAAAATGTTAACAGTAAAGAGCTTTTTTTTTTTGAAAGCTGTGGTCATAAAGGACAACACTGGCAGTTATATAGCACCTTACATGACTTCAGGTGTCCCCAAGACTCTTTACAGCCTCATGGCTTGTCATTTGGAACGGAATACAGATAATGTTTTAGTAGGGGAGGGAATCCTCTTTCAGAGATTTCACCCCTTTTGTGCGAGCCCTCAGCATTCAAGTTCAAAGAAGGATTCTATTCACATGCTATCATCTTCTCTCAAAGTATCAAAACTCTTTGCAGTATGCTTTGTGCTCGGCCATGCTGGCTCAGGATCGCCAGTAACTTCCTTTTCTTTTGCTTTATTTTCAATTTTCTATCTTTGCAGAAACTTCTTAAATTCCAGGTAAGGACTCCTCCCAAGTCACCCCAATAACACAGCTGCTCACACGTGCATCAGCCTTGGATGATTTAGATGCTCAGCAAGAAGGCAATATGTTCAGTAAGCCACACTACATAAATGGGCAAAAGCAGTAATAGACAGAACACAAGAACTAGGAGCAGGAGTAGGCCGTCTGGCCCTTCGAGCCTGCTCCGCCATTCAATAAGATCATGGCTGATCCTTTCGTGGACTCAGATCCACTTACCCACGTTCTCACCGTAACCCTTAATTCCTTTATTGTTCAAAAAAAATCTACCTTTTTTTTAAAAAGCGTTTACTGAAGTAGCGTCAACTACTTCACTGGGCAAGGAATTCCATAGATTAACAACCCTCTGGGTGAAGAAATTCCTTCTCAGTTCAGTCCTAAATCTGCTCCCTCTAATCTTGAGGCTATGCCCTCTTGTCCTAGCTTCACCTGCTAGTGGAAACATCCTCTCTACTTCTATCTTATCTATTCCCTTCATAATTTTATATGTTTCTATAAGATCCCCCCTCAATCTTCTGAATTCCAATGAATATAATCCCAATCTACTCAGTCTCTCCTCATAAGCCAACCCCCTCAACTCCGGAATCAACCTCGTGAACCTCCTTTGCGCCCCCTCCAGTGCCAGTACATCCTTTCTCAAGTAAGGAGACCAAAACTGCACACAGTACTCTAGGTGTGGCCTCACCAGCACCTTGTACAGCTGCAACATAACCTCTCTGCTTTTAATCTCAATCCCTCTAGCAATGAAGGACAAAATTCCATTCGCCTTCCTAATTACTTGTTGTACCTGCAGACCTACCTTCTGTGATTCATGCACAAGGACACCCAGGTCCCTCTGCATAGCAGCCTGCTGCAACTTTTTACCATTCAAGTAATAATCCTTTTTACTATTACTCCTACCAAAATGTATCACTTCACATTTATTTACATTGTATTCCATCTGCCAGACCTTTGCCCACTCACTCAATGTATCTATGTTCCTCTGCAAAGTTTCACAGTCCTCTGCACACTTTGCTTTGCCACTCATCTTAGTGTCATCTGCAAACTTTGACACCCTACACGTGGTCCCCAGCTCCAAGTCATCTATATAAATTGTAAATAATTGCGGTCCCAACACCGATCCCTGAGGCACACCACTAGTCACTGACTGCCAGCTAGAATAGCACTCATTTATCCCCACTCTTTGCTTCCTGTTGGTCAACCAATCCTCTATCCATGCTAATACTTTACCCTTAGTGCCATGCATCCTTACCTTATGCAGCAGCCTCTTGTGCGGCACCTTGTCAAAGGCCTTTTGGAAGTCTAGGTACACCACATCCACTGGGTTCCCATTGTCCACCTCGCTCGTAATGTCTTCATAGAGTTCCAAAAGATTTGTCAAGCATGACCTGCCCTTCATGAACCCATGCTGCGTCTGCCCAACGGGACAATTTCTATCAAGATGCCTTGCTATTTCTTCCTTGATAATAGACTCAAGCATCTTCCCCACTACAGAGGTTAAGCTAACTGGTCTATAATTCCACATCTTTGTCTACTTTGCTGGAAACCAAATGCCAAGGAGAGAAATTAACCAACTCCAAAGTGATCAGACATTGGTCATTATCTTAATTTCCCTCTCAATTTCCCTTTTCTTTAAATACACTTTCTTAACGTAATTGGCTGATGGAGTCACTGAAGGACTGTCCAGAAATATCAAACATATGATGGCAAGTGCTCCATGTAATTGCTGCTTACTGACAGAATGCAGAATATGTAGTCAGACATTGAAGGAATGGCAATACCAGAGTCATCTGCAGCACAGCTTTGGAGACAGCTGCTGAACATTATATACAATGTCATCTGCTAGCTCCTCAATGAGGTGGTACGTTTAGCCAAATTAGGAATGAGTTTTAAACAGACTGGCAAAATGCCAGTGTGACCATAGGGGCCATTCCCCACAAATCAGAACACAGACAAGCCAGAACTAGCAATTGCAAAAGCTGATCTTTCAACAAATAGCAGCACTGTCTTGCCAACTTCCACCTATGTCAGAATGAAGATAGAATGTCAACTCCAAAGGAGGGGGAGGCTCACTGGTCTTTAGTGGGATCACTGGTGACTAACACCATGTCCCAATTTGCTTCCAGGAATCTGTTGCTGAAACACAGTTTCATCCATTCTTCCTGTCAACAAAAGTGGAGTCAGGAAAGTACAGGGATATCATAAACAGACTTTAAAAGAAAATATTGATGTGCCATGGTGACAAACAAAAAGCACGTATACATACACACACACACAAACGGGTTTAAATCAAGTCGGAATCAATTAATTGATTAGCTAAGCATACTGAGTGTAGAGATGCTACAAGAACAAGTGTTATGAAAGGAATACTAGTATGAAACTTAAAGGTGTTGTGGGGAATGTTTGGCTCCTCTGTATTTGGGTGGACTGGAGTATTTATTTCATCAGGATGGGTAGGCCAGTTGGTCAACATGAGGGAGCATTTACGTGTGCTTTCAAGGTGGCTTGCTATTCATAAACAACATCTGCTTTGAAGTCTTTAGCCCTATGAAAAGTACTGACTCATTCTGTGAAACTTCTCAACCTCCCCTTAGAATATAGAACATAGATCAAAGAATGCCTACAGTGTGGAAACAGGCCATTCAGACCAACAAGTCCACACCACCCCTCTGAACAGCATCCCACCCAGACCCATTCCCCTATATTTCCCATATCTAACCCACCTATTCTGCACATCCCTGAACACTACGGGCAATTTAGCATGGCCAATCCACCAAGCCTGCACATCTTTGGACTGTGGGAGGAAGCCGGAGCACCCGGAGGAAACCCATGCAGACACGGGGAGAATGTGCAAACTCCACACAGATAGTCGCCCAAGGGTGGAATTCGAACCTGGGTCCCTGGTGCTGTGAGGTAGCAGTGCTAACTACTGAGCCACCGTGCCTCATCTTCGAGATAAATTTAAGTTCATGGTTACCAATTGTCTAACAGCACATCAAAATCCCCATACTAATTTCTCTGGGAAATAAGGTCAGTATATCTTACTGCTTCAACAGACATCAGTATATATAGCTTCCATATGACGCAGTAGTAGTGTCCTTATTTCTGGGCCTGTAGGCCCAGGTTCAGAGGTATGACAGGTTGATTAAAAATATCTACATGGTTTTCATGTGTTCTTAGCAGGAAGGGCCAGTTGAGTAAATGATCTATATTGCACTGCAAATATTGTATAAACCTTTGCTCCAAACATACCATTCACCTAGAAATCAGAGAGGAATGCACAAGATCTCCCTCTATAATTCTCAGCCTTCAACAGCAACAAATAAAGTTCTCTTCTACATAAACTCCAAAACAAAGTCACTAAAAGAAAACTTACTACAAATTAGATGCATGCACTTCAAATGAGCCAGAACCTAAGCATCAGCATTGCAATCAGTAGTTAAAAGAGAGCAGCCTGGCTTTGGACCGAGTCCAATTTTTATGATATGGAGTTTGACTGTTGTTGGGAGTTTGGTTGTTAGGCCTTGAAGGAAACATGTGAAGAACTTTATAGAAATACAAAAGATTTTAATGACAAGATTAAGTTGATCTAAAGCACTACTTCAAGAAAAGCCCAGGACACTAAAACAAAGGAACATGGGTAAGAATTAGGAGAACATGCGAAGATACAAATCTGCTCTGCAATTCAATAACATCATGACTGATATGATTGTGGCCTGAACTCCATATTCGTGACTAACCCCAACACCATTCAAGTTCTTTGTTCGGCACAAATCTAGTGAATATTTCTTAAGACCGAGGTCGATGACCTAGCTTCCACCACTTTTTAGGAAATAAATACCTCCATTGACTTAGAACCACCAGAAAAAAAATCTCCATCTTAAGTAGACCCCTATTTTAAACTCAAAGCAAATATGATGGGATGCATGGACTCCTTCTGCGTCATAACAATTCCACTGGACTGAGATGACCGACGTCCAACAACCACAACCATCTTTTTCAGTGCTAGGTATGACTCCAACCAATAGAGTGTTGATTGATTCTAGTTTTGCTAGGGCTCCTTTGCAGCAAACTCAGCCAAATGCTGCCTTAAAGTTAAGGGCAGTCACTCTCACTTCATCTCTGGAGTTTAGTTGTTTTGTCAATGTTTGGTCCAAGTCTGTATTGAGGTTAGATGTGGCAGGTCTTCGGTAGAACCCAAATTGAGAGTCAGCGAAGAGGTTATTCCAATTATTTCCTAGGATGTTATCTATATCCACTACAATGAAAACAGATGTAAAATATCTGTTTAATTCATCCACCAATTCCTTATTACCCATCATTAGTTCCCAAAATTCACTCTGTAAAAGAACCAACTTTCAGTTTCCCTACCATTTTCTTTTTTAAATACCTACAGAAGTTCAGTGTGTTTTTACATTTCTAGCTGACTCTCCCAATCAACTTCTCTGCTCTGAGATAGTTGGAACTGCCGATGCTGGAGTCTGAGAAAACAAGGTGTAGAGCTGGATGAACACAGCAGGCCAGGCAGCATCAGAGGAGCAGGAAAGCTGACGTTTCGGGTCTGGACCCTTCTTCAGAAATGCTCTGCTCTTATTCTTTTCACCATTGTTTAATATTCTGTCCGATCTTCTGACCTGCCGCTGACCAGAATATTGTATGCATATTATCTCAATTTCATACGATCCTTAACTAAGGATGACATATTAATCCCCCAGAGTTTTTCTTTCTCAGCATTATGTATCTTTGCTGAGTGTTACGGAATGTTTTCTTAACTGACTACCACATTAACTCTACTGTCCTATCCCACATACTAATTTCCCAGTTCACCTCAGCCTACTTGGCTTTCATACTCTCATAACTGACTTTATTCAAGTTTAAACACTCGGTCTTGTTTCCACTCTTCACTTCCTCAAACTGAATGCAAAATTCAAAAGAGAAAAGGAAGAAAAGTTAGGAAAAAATACTTCACAGAAAAACCAATCAATACTTGAAGTGATACTCTGGGCAGGTTGTTGGAGGTGAAATCTTAAAAGAATCATTCAAGAGTCTTTTATAGGGAGATAAATGTAAGTCTTTTATTCTGGATGGATATTTAAGGGTCAAGTGGCCTCCCTCATTTCAGCCAAGATGGCGGCAGGTATAATGTCAGCAAACTGCAGAATCATTGGATCAACAAGAGAAAAGGTTCCTGATTATGACTGCTAACGATCCTACTGAAAATATAAGGAACTGCATCTGCAGCTTTTTTGTGACATCCACAGTTGGATAACCTGTCAACATGAATAATGGTTACTTGAGTAAGAAAACATCTCAAATGACACATTAGACTATAACCCAGTAGCAAGTTAATGCCTGCACCAAAACAGGGGAAGAAAGCTAAGCAACTGTTTCCTTACATTGTCACAAAACACTTTGGACATCCTGAAGTTGTGAAAGGTACTACATAAATGCATGATCTTTCTCTTACCTCAGTTTTTTAATCTATTTGGTTTCCTTAATGTTTCAACTTTATTCATGCTTCTTTCCTTGGCTTGACACAGGGATCATTTCAGTCAAGAATCTTTTAATCCAGTTATTTTGTTTCATTTGGGATATGTATATACATTACAGAGATACCAGTAGTTCATGTATATAGATATATTTACTAGTTAAATGTCAAATTTTCAAGTGTTAAATACCTTCAGTTTTCAATTAGACTACCAACTAAAGAAATCAACCTCTGGGGCAGTGTTTAAACAGCAGTAATAAACTAAAAATAAACAACGGATTGATAAAATACATTTAACATGCCACCATCTATTACAGGCACCATATATTAGACACAGATCCTTTCAGAATAAAGCAAGTTTAATTAAACCTAATATTTTACCAGCCAAATTCACACTTTCCTGCACTTGCAGTAAAACCTCAACCTCTATTAAACCAGATATCTTGTTTGCAAGCTGATGTAACTATTAGGTATATAGCATATGGAAAGCAGTAGGCCTATTTCAGGATGAGAGATTCAGCTTCTGCAACAGGTAACATTTGGTAGATAAATTATACATTGAGAAATTAATTAATTTTGATTTTTCTAATCCAACCACAGCTACATCAAGATTTGTGTTTATGATGAAGACTGCAGATTGCGTAATACTAAAAAAAAAGTCACAAAACCAGGTTGTGATCTTGGCGCAAGCACTTAAATGGATATTTTCACATAAACTGCCCCATCACGAACCATGCTGTTAATATTTTTAAGCTAATTCACAACATGTACTATCAAATTACTCATTTTCAGAAGACTTCATATAAAACCCCAAAATAATCTTATTACTGGACACTAGAATCATTCATAACCCTAAGAGAGGCACCAAAACATCAAATTAATGAATAATAAAATTAATTTCAAGTCTACAAGAGGTAATAGTGTGGATACTGGAAATGTGAAATAAGGAATGAAAAATGCTGGTAACGTTAAGCAAATATGACAACGTCTGTAGAGAAGTGGAGAGGTGTTCAAAATAGTCGTCTTTGATAGTGCAAATATGTTTCAGCGTTTGGAGTAGCATTTCACACAGCAACCCTACATACGCTTCATTTAGTTGCGTAAATTACCCAACTATTTTGCAACCTAACATGGTCTACACAATACAAAAAATTCTTTTTTCAGATTTGAAACTCAGGCGGTTAATTAAACCCTTGCTTAGTCATTGAATTTCTCAATCGTCAGAAAGCAGAGCGATTATTGTGTTTTCGCTGCAAAAGTCATTGTTTGGCGATCCCTACGGGAGGCGGCCATAAAGTAAAGGTAAACCTCATATGTTTATACAGCTTTTGTGTCCACATGTAGGACAGAGCTGAATAGACATATGAAAGAAGAAAGGGCTCAGCCTTCCTACACTCTGAAGCACAAAATGCAACAATAAAGCTTCCCAAATGTCCAAGGGACATAGACATTGTGGAGAGCAGCCTGAGGAAGGGGCGAGTGCCACGCATGCGCGCAGCCACAGGGCAGGGCATAAGACAGTGCGGCCCGCAGCAACCACTTGGAACCGCCACTTCGCCCAAAGCCAGAACGGAACATCAACACCTCAATCCCTCTCAGAATACAAGTGGCTTTTACACAGACACATCTCCATCAAAACGCTCACCTGAGCCACATTCCACTCGCCGAGACGTTAATCCAACGACACTTCTCTCAGCAACCGCTAACCGTTCAAACTGTCCAAGCTGCAAAGACCCCGTCCCCGCTGAGCAGGCGTGGCCAACGCACTGCCTGCGCAGGAAATTCAATAGCACATCCGGGGAAGCGGACAATTCGTCCAATCACCCCTCCCTCAAGCTCGCCCTGCAGCCGCTCCTCCTCACCGCAGGTGGTGCTGCGGAGCAGTCCAGTTAGATTCAACAACGCCTGACGTGGAAGTTTTTCCAAATTTAGCTCAAAATGCCAAAGAATGAAAAACACCCTGTATTTTGGGAAAAAAAATTCAAGCAAGCAAAAGACTGGTATTCATAAAGCAACTTTCTCTAGCTCAGGTTCAAAGAGGAGTGGAAGAAAGTATGCTAGGAGGAACACGAGGAATACCTGAAAATGAGGTGTCAACCTGCTGAATTTACCAAACACTTACATACCAACAGCATAGGCAACAAAATGATAGAGAAAAGCAATCACACAATCAACAGATCAAATCTGCACTCCTGCCACATCCAGTCATAAATGGTGGTGGACAATTAGCCTCCCCACTGGAGGAGGAGACTCCACAACTATCCCCATCCTCAAATGATGGAAAAGCCCAGCATATCAGTGCAAAAGGTAAAATTGAAAGATGGGCAGCAATCCTCCGCCACAAGTGCCAAGTGGATGATCCAGCTCAGCCTCCTCCAGTGGTCCCTGGCATCACAACCCCAGTCTTCAGCCAATTTGATTCACTCCACATGATTTCAAGAAACAGTTGGAGAAACTGGATATTGCAAAGGGTATGGGTCCTGACAACATTCCAGCAATAATATGAGGACTTGTGCTCCCCAGAATGTCCCCTCCATTAGCCACACACTTTTGGTGTTGATAGCAACAGTAGCATCTACTTGAGAATGTGGAAAATTGCCCAGGTATGTCCTGTACACAAAAGTAGTACAAATCCAACCCTGCCAATTACTGCTCCATCAGTCTACACTCCACCTTTAGTTGAGTGGAGGAAGATGACATCAACACTGCTATCAAACTGCTCAGCAATAACTTGCGCAGTGATGCCTGGTTTGGATTCAGCCAGGGCTATTCTGCTCCTGATCTCAGTACAGCGTTGGTTCAGACATGGGGAAGAGAGCTGAATTCTACAAGGGAAGTGACAGTGACAGCCTTGACACTAAGGCTGCACTCCATTGAATATTGCATCAAGGAGCCCCAGTAAAACTGGAATCAATGGGCATTGGGGCAAACACTCCACTGGTTAGAGTCATACCTGGTACATAGGAAGATGGTTGGACGCCAGAAATCACAGCTCTAGGCCATCTCTGCAGGAGTTCCTCAGTGTCCTAGACCCCTATCTTAAGCCGCTTCAACAATGACCTTCCCTACATCATAAGGTCAGACACAGGGATGTTTATAGATGATTGCATAATTGGCGATTGTTCAAATACTGAAGCTGTCCCTGTTCAAATGCAACAAGATCTGGACAATATCCAGGTCGAGTTCACAAGTGGCAAGTAACATTCACACCATAAAAGTCAGGCAATAACTATCAAACTGCTGCCCCTCAATATTCAGTGGTGTTACTTACCATCACTGAACCCCCCCACTATCGACATTCTTAGGGTTACCATTGACCAGAAACTTAAACTGGACTCGTAAACACAGTAGCTACAAGAGTAAGTCGGAGGCTAGGAATACTGCGGCAAATAACTCACCTCCTGACTTCCCAAAGACTGCACACCAATGCACAAATCAGAGTGTGATGGAATATTCCCCACTTGCCTGGACATGCATTGCTCCAAGAACACTAAAGAGCAGCAGATACTGGGAATGCTGCTACCACCTGCAAGTTCCCCTCCAAGCCAGTCACTACCCTGACTTGGAAATATATCACCATTCCTTCACTATCATGTTGTCAAAATCCTGGAATTCCCTCCCCAAGAGCATTGGGAGTCTACCTACAGCATGTGGACTGCAGCCGTTCAAGGCAACTCACCACCACCTTTACCATGGTGCTCAGTGGTTAGCATCATGCCTGCTTCCACACTTTAGGCATTCTATGATTCTCGAGTAACTAGTTAATATTCACCTTGGAATTCATATAGCTTCATGTCCTATAGGATTGGCCTATCCTATCAGCATCACCTTGCAAATATGGTCCCAGCCATTTGCTCAGCTTACAAGTTGATGCAGAAATTGAGCACTTCAAAGCCGTCCTTAAGGTCATTGACTCTCTTGATCAGATCATTGTTTGCTGTGTATCACACAAACTTGCAAATGTTCCATGGACTGACACTTTCAGATCTGAGGACAGATTTATAGTGGTAGGTAATTAAAATTACCTGAAAATTACCAAACTCATGGTGGTAAAATGAGATACACAATGCTAAAAGTTAAGCATTTTTTCAAAGCTGTAGCTTGGTATTGGATTCTTTAATTTGAATCCAACCTGCAAATACAAAAGAACATTCAGATTCATCTTGAATCAACAGGTTTGTAATCAGTGGTTATCATCACCCAAACTACTATATTTTTGACCGATAGCTCATCAAGTTTAACATATTGTATAAACGTTTAATGTATTTATTAGCTTATTTGGAAATTTGAAGACAATCAGGTTTTAAAAAGTATACAAGAATGCTTCTCAAATGGTAAGAACCATTATATTAAAAAATTGCATGTATTATGGTTAAATGTAGATCTTTAATGTTGATCAAACAAAATGGAAACTCAGCTCGTTTGCTTTTTCATCTACTACTTAAATTTGATCAACAATAAAAGGTCAAAGCGTAGCATTATTTTGCTGTTTTCTTAAGTTTTCATAAAGCCATTGGCAAAATTCACTTCATTCTGTGGACAGGTTCCGAATTAAGATTTCTGATCTCAACTTACTGGAGAAGGTGTTTGTAGTTGAAGTAACCAGCTCTAGCAACAATGAAAGTGGATTCCCTTGGGTAACTGATGCAATTGTTTGGAAGGTGAGGAAAGAACATTCCCAAGAATATATCAATTGGTCTGTGATCATTCACAGAAGTTGAAAAATCATAAAAGTTATGTAACAGGATTTTACGTGATGCTTAAAAAGGGACAATGTGTTTGTAAACAGCCTTGCATTATGGCACATTAATTCCATTGGTATATATGCAAACATACATTCAAATCTAGATTAAACAAGATGATCTATGCATATTCCCATTCCAAGAACAATTCCCTTGAATACCGTGTTCAAAAATATCTTTGAATATGACTTAATTTCAGCTGCATACACAAGTTGGAACCCGATGAGCTTTAACTCCTGGAATGCAAGATATGGTTCTAACTGGTTTAAAATGGTGTCATTTATGAACTCAAGCCAAGAATTTGTAGGGCTTCACTTCAGAATAAATCTCATTTTACCTCAGGGGCCTTTCCTTACTCTATTTCCAGATTTACATTACATTCCTTGTGCTGGTTTGAAATGAAGCAGCTGCATACTGTGGTATACATAAAAACTTGGCTAAAACAGTTCTTGAAAAAAAAAACAGAAGCACCTGTAGTCTGCAAAGAAAAACATTATCATGTAAATTACTTGTGCTTTCACTTGATAATATGACTGTCAAGAAAAGTTTTTAAACTAGAACTATGAAAAAATCTTGTCCCTTAAAATCAACAATGTAATGTCACAGCACATTAAAACATCATCTTTTGGTAAACATGGGCAGCCTTGGTGGAGAAGTTAACTTAAATAACCAGAAACTTTACTAATCTTTTTATAAGATAATTGACTGTTTTTGCATACTATAGCTGCATTTTTATTATATAACAATACTAAACATTGCCAAATATTTTGATGTGTAGTTTTAGTATCTAGGCATCTTTGCAACTTTAAATGGGTGTATCACTGCCTTGTTTATATCTGTAAAAGGACAGATACTTGTAGCTCCCTTTCAGATTGTTAGCAATAGGATAAAATTAGCGGAAGCCGGTAGTTTTCAGTTATACTGTTCAAAAACCTATTTGATGAAAATCTGGCTTTGGAGCAAACAGCACAGGAAACAACTCATCTCACATAATTTGTCAAAAGGTGCTTCTGAATATAGATCTTAGTGATTCCACTTCAAGCAGTGTCAATGTTGGGTGGGGTGTACAGGAAAGAATCTACTTAGTATCTTTTCTTAGCACTGTGATGCCCTTCAAATACAATGGAAAAAGTGAGATACAAACGAAAGGCAGGAAAGTGGCGTTGAGGATTATCAGATCAGTGTAGACATAATGAGCTGAATGGATGAAATATGCTTCAACGCATTATTGTCCAAACTACATGGTAATGTGAAGAAGAGTGCAAAAGATCATTTAAGTCAAGAACAATTTCACTACAAGCAACACAAAACTTTATAAGGGCAAAGGAAAGTTTAATTTCACAATTACACAATAAATTACAAATGTTAACAAGCAAAACTTTAATTGCTTCAAGAATTGATATGTAGTTGTTAATTAGATTGCTTAAAATGGAGATTAAAGACTGAATTTGTTTTTATGCAACATCTTTCATGACTTTAGGACTTCCTGAAGTGCTTTACAGTTAAATTTCACCTTTTCTGAAGCAAATTAACTGTTATAATGTAGGAAATATTACCGAAATAGTACAAGATTAAAGGTAAAACTTTACTCAAACTCATTGAAGGGAGTCCAAAGTGCAATTTATATTCAAATTAATTTATAGTTGCTTTCTTAACTCAAATTTTGCCCAAATCCCATCTCTGGAAGCCATAGGCTCACAAGACAATTTTTATTTTAAATAACTTAGTAATAATTTCACAAACAAAAATAAATCTGGGAATTTTACAATAACATCTTTAGTTTGTACTTCTATCAAGTATTACTGCTAAATGTTACAAATTGCATGGGAATACTAAACTTCACATTTGGTTATATAGAGTTGGGACGCTGAATAAAGCTTTCTCAAACCACACCCAGTATTGGACAGCACCTTAAAACGTATCAGTGGAATTATTTTTATTTCCAAGAATGATTACTAATTTACTGTAGAGTTAGGGAAGATTAATATTGTAATCCCTGATTTACTAGGAACTGGATTGAGATTTTAGGAATTCAATTCACACAGGACCATAATTAGCAA